GGCATGCGGTAGTTACGGACAAAAAAACTTCTAAATTATTCAAGCTGAGATCGTTTTTAGAGGGGTGTTTTAAAAATTTTTTAGGGGGATCCAGGGTGGGTGGGAGGGGGGAGGTTCCCCTTAGGTCAGGACCAGCCATGTCTGGGGGTAGCGAGGGAGCAAAGGTGGGGGGAGAGGGTAGGAGAGTGAAGGAGGAGGGAAGAATCAGTACGGTCAGTGGGAGAGGCAGATATGGCGGGAGCAGAGGACCATATCAGGTTAGGGGAGCACGCACACGCTATTTACAAGCTTGTGGGCGCTCCGGTCCTCAGGTCTCCACTCGGTTATAGTTACAAGACAGTCCTCATTTAATGAGCAGTCACTTAATAGCCATTCTGAGTTACAGTGGATCCCCCCCAAAAGCAACTTATAACAATAGCAGATAATAATAACAACAACAACAATAATAATAACAATAACAATAATAGAGTTGGAAGGGACCTTGGAGGTCATCTAGTCCAACCCCCTGCTCAGGCAGGAAACCCTATACCATTTCAGACAAACGGTTGTCCAGTCTCTTCTTAAAAATATACCCTCTCCATAATGTTTTACAGAGTCAGCATATGGACCCCAACTATCTGGGTGGTCAATTTACCGACTTCAGAAGGACGGAAGGCTGAGTCAACCTGGAGCCCTGTCAGGATTGAAATCCAGACTGAGCCGATAAGCTGCTGGCAGTCGGCAGAATTAGCCTGCAATACTGCATTCTAACCACTGTGCCACCAGGGCTCCTTATGACCCAATCCCCAAAGGTATGGCCACTGCAGAGCCCTTGTGGCCATTCGCCCTTTCAGTGGGGGAGGGAGAGGCCAGCAGGGATCCAGTGGGAGGAAAAAGGCCGGTGGGGATCCAAGAGGATGGAGCTGGAGCCTGGGGCAGGCAAGCCTGGGCCTGCGCTAAACTTCCCAAGGCCTGCCCACCCTCAAGGCACCCCATGCTTTGCTTAACAACCTGCGTGTTCATTTAACGGCTACATCAGGAAGACCGGGAGGTGGGGGAGTCATTAAGCAAGGCTGTCTTATTTAACGGCCATCCTGACATGTGACCATAATGAGCAGGTTCCATTACAGTCATATGTCAAGGAATACTCTATTACATTCTTAATGTTTCCATAATGTACGATATATACTATAATGACTTATGGATTCTTTTATTGTACCAGTTATAATTGCTTAGACCAAAACATCATACAAATATTATAAACAAACAAATAAATAATTCTTAGTACACAAAGGCCGATATTCCTCATTAAGCTGTGTAACCTGAGTAAGAGGAGACTAATTGCTCTGAGAGTAATAAATCCATTTTGTCCAGCTTCTTGACCGCTGGTCAACAAGAAGCCTCTACAAGCAGGACATGAAAGTCCTCTCCCACTCATGTTCTAGAGCAGGGGTGTCAAACTGCCGGCCCACGGGTCGGATGCGTCACACAGAAACCAGGCCCACCCCATTGCCGGCAATGGCAAAACTATCCCGATACGTTGCACGACGTCATGTGATGTCGCGAGTTTGACATGTCTGTTCTAGAGCATCATCTTGATTAATGGCTTCAAGGGAACAAGGCAAAGGATGAAAAGAGTCATAAAAAGGATTAGGGTTGGAGTTAGGGTTAGTGCTACGATTAGGAATAGGGCTAGGGCTCAAGTTAGGGTTATGGTTAGGGTTTACAGTTAGGGCTAGGGTTACGGCTAGGGTTAGGATTAGGGCTAGGGTTACGGTTAGGTTACAGTTAGGGTTTACAGTTAGGGCTAGGGTTAAGGCTAGGGTTAGGATTAGGGCTAAGGTTAGGGTTAGGGTTACGATTAGGTTACAGTTAGGGTTTACAGTTAGGGCTAGGGTTAAGGCTAGGGTTAGGATTAGGACTAGGGTTAGGGTTACGATTAGGTTACAGTTAGGGTTTACAGTTAAGGCTAGGGTTAGGATTAGGGCTAGGGCTAGGGTTAGGGTTACGGTTAGGGTTTACAGTTGGGGCTAGGGTTAGGGTTACGGTTAGGGTTTACAATTAGGGCTAGGGTTAAGGCTAGGATTAGGATTAGGGCTAGGGTTAGGATTAGGGCTAGGGTTAGAGCGAGGGTTAGGGCTAGAATTAGGGTTAAGGTTGGGGTAAGGGTTAGTGCTAAGGTTAGGGCTGGGGTTAAAGTTAGAGCTACTGTTAGGGCTATGGTTCGGGCTAGGGTTAGGGTTGGGATTAGATTTAGGCTAACCCTAATCCTTTATTGTAGAGACATATATGAAAATGAAAGAAGAACTGCAAAACAATGTACAGGACTTTCTTATTTAAAAGAAAAAAACCGAGAGAAAACACCTGTATTGACCTACTTGTTGCAATAAGAAAGGCTCCAATGGCATTTTAGCAGGAGTATTTTACACTTTGCTGGTTTCCCTTTTGGCGTTGTGTAGAAAGGCTAGGAAATGTGCGAAATATTAAGTGCTTCATATCTTGATGTCCTATTTTTGGCATTCTATAGATTTCCTAGGCATTCTATAAAATGTCTAATTTCACACATTGACAGTAACACATACACGTGTTAAATAAATAGAGATATTCCTCTATTAGTGGGGAATAGGGAAGTCCTTACAATTCCATAAATACAGTAATAATTCTAATTTGGTCAAAAAAAGTCATGAAACAGATAATCCCTGATTTACAACTTGTTTGCTTAGTGTCTGTTTGAAGATAGATACTTTTTATCTTTTGGGAAATTTCCAAATTGAGGGTTGTGTCTGATAGTTACAAGTGGTTATCTAGATGAACCAGAGATGTTCAGGGTCAGCAGGCCAAATACCATAAATTATGACCAACATTGTGTAAATTGTATATTGATGTAACTACGTTTGTGCTGATGGTCTAGAATGATAAGGGGTTTCCAATCTTTGCAATTTTAAGACATATGGACTTCAATTCCCAGAATTCCCCGTTCAGCACGGGTGGCTGGGAATAATAGAATAACAGCGTTGGAAGGGACCTTGGAGGTCATCTAGTCCAACTCCCTGCTCAAGCAGGAAACAGCTGTCCAGTCTCTTTTTAAAAGCCTCCAGTGATGGAGCATCCATAACTTCTGGAGGCAAGTCATTCCACTGATTAATTGTTCTCACTATCAGGAAATTCTTCCTTAGTTCTAGGTTGCTTCTCTCCTTGATTAGTTTCCATAAATTGCTTCTTGTCCTGCCTTCAGGTGCTTTGGAGAGTAGCCTGACTCCCTCTTTTTTGTGCTAGCCCATTAGATATTGGAACACTGATATTATATCACCCCCAGTCCTTCTGGGAATTAAAGTCCACATGTCTTAAAGTTGCCAAGATTGGGGCAAGTCTCACCCCAATAAATCTAGATAAACCATTAACATCTCTACTAGTTGGGTTTGATCTAAAGACAGGGGAGCATTTAAATATGAACTAATAGAATTCAAATATCCTCAATCTGATGAAAAAAATGGGAAACAATTCTTTACTTTTGGCTCTTCTCTGAATTTTTTCATTGCAACCTTTCAGCTAAAATATGTACAAAGATGTATATCAGAGTAAATTGAATATGAAAGGCATACATTAATGGCATATTTTTGAGAAAATTGTTGCAAGAAAGTGTAAAATGCATATTAACCATTTCATATTTCATTCACACAGATGCAAATGAAAATTCATGTAACCTTCATGTGCACATTATTATTAATAATATTAATGTTATTACGGTGATTATAATTATTTTGCAAACTGATGGGAAAACGGGACAGAATGAACATGCACATGAAAAAAAAAATTGCAAGAGTTCTGCAAATGAAACCAGACAGATTTGTATAGACCGACCTACCGACAATTGATAGAATCACGACTACAAAATCAAATATGTTCCATCCATTCGTGAAATAGTAGTGCCTCAGAGCTGTCATTTTGAAAATACACTCTGCAGTGAAGATCGCAACGAAAACCATATTGATTCTGTAGAGGATGTTCACTTTTTCCGGACTCTGGTCATCGGTCTCCACCATCATGGTCACCATGTTTAGGCAGATCAGAAGCATGATGCAAACATCAAAGGCTTGGTTCAAGACAACGTCAAAGATGAAACCTTGATACTTGTTCTGGAGACATGAAAGAGATATTAGTAACTTACAGGAGTTAAGTCACACCATGGCAGGGCTCTCCAAACTTGGCAACCTTAAGACTTGTGGACTTCAGCTCCCATGCTGGCTGAGGAATTCTGGGAGTTGAAGCCCACAAATCTTAAAGTTGCCAAGTCTGGAGAATCTTGCCCTATGGTATAAGTTTGAATCTAGTCAAGTGTGAAATGAAAATGACGACATTTGAGTTGGACTAAGCTTTTTCGTGGTTGGGTGTACAAGAATATTTTTCACATCGTAAATATTGTAAAAGTAGGTTGGACTGTGATACCAAAAGCTAGGTCAACTCTTGATGGCAACAAGCTGCTTGGACAGTATAATTTATACTGCTTGGACAGTATAATTTAACTTAACTTTTCTTAGTTTCCATCCATCCATCCATCCATCCATCCATCCATCCATCCATCCATCCATCCATCCATCCATCTATCTATCTATCTATCTATCTATCTATCTATCTATCTATCTATCTATCTATCTATCTATCACACATTGGTAGACCATATATATATGTATATGTATGTATATGTGTATGCGTGCATGTGTGTGTTTGTGTGTGTGTGTGTTTTATCTATCTATCTATCTATCTATCTATCTATCTATCTATCTATCTATCTATCTATCTATCTATCTATCTATCTATCTATCTATCTATCTATCTATCTATCTATCTATCTATCTTTATTGAGCTGGAAACTAAGAAACACCAAACTAAACCATTTTCGCACTACTGCCAGAATTAAACACCAAACTAAACCATTTTCGCACTACTGCCAGAAGCATAGATTCACATGAATCCATCCATCGATCCATCGATCCATCCATCCATCCATCCATCCAAGAATCACCAAAAGTGGCATTCAGCTGAATTCTTTTCTTTAGTATACCATTCCCATTTTGACAGCAAACTGGAGTCAAATGACAGCAATCATGTCATTAAGGGAAGCAGGAAGGTCTGCACGAGAACTTACAAGCTCTGTTGGATAAGTCAGATATTGAGCATTAATGGCATTAATCCCTTTAATATCCATTATAAGAAAATGGGAAATAGGTCTAGTTAGGCCCACTGGAAAGAAGATTATCATGTTTTATGACAATAGCATGATCATAATTCTCTGATCCTGGTAGTCCTTGACTTACAATAGTTCATTTCGTGGCTGTTTGAAGTTACAATGGCACTAAAAAAATGAGTTATGACCATTTTTCACATTTATGACCATTGCAGCATCCCATGGTCATGTGATCAAACTTCAGATGCTTGGCAACTAATTCATATTTATGTGGGTTGCCGTGTCCAGGGATCACGTGATCACCTTTTGCGACCTTCTAATAGACTGAGTCAATGGAGAAGCTACTTTCACTTTACGACTGTGTCACTAACTGAACAACTGCAGTGATTCATTTAACCACTGTGGCAAGAAAGAGCATAAAACGGGGCAAAACTCACTTAACAAATATCTCACTTAGCAACAGAAATGTTGGGCTCAACAAGTTGAGGAATTCCTATATTATGAATACCATGATATTCCAATTTTTTTTGAACAAACTGAGTTGCAACTATGCTAACATACACAGGCTTATTTCTAGAATTAATTTTCAAGCTGTCTATAGAAACACTTACTATGACCAACAAATCATATATGGGGTAATGGTTAAAGTGCTGGCCTGAAACCAGAGGATGGAGAGTTGTAGTCTTGCTTTAGACATGAAAATCAGCTGGGTGATTTGGGCCAATCACTAGGAGGTGGGGAGTTCTAGTCTTGCCTTAAGGCAGGAAATGAAGAGAAGGACGAGGGGGGACATGATAGCAGTCTTCCAACATCTCAGGGGCTGCCATAAAGAACAGGGAGTCAAGTTATTCTCCAAAGCGCCTGGAGGCAGGACAAGAAGCAACGGGTGGAAACTAATCAAGGAGAGAAGCAACCTAGAACTAAGGAGAAACTTCCTGACAGTTAGAACAATTAACCAGTGGAACAACCTGCCTCCAGAAGCGGTGAATGCTCCAACACTGGAGGTTTTTAAGAAGAGACTGGACAGCCATTTGTCTGAAATGGTATAGGGTTTCCTGCCTGAGCAGGAGGTTGGACTAGATAACCTCCAAGGTCCCTTCCAACTTTATTATTATTATTATTATTATTATTATTATTATTATTATTATTATTATTATTATTATTATTATTATTATTATTATTATTATTATTACTATTATTATTATTATTATTAAGCTAGCTAGATGACTTGGGGCCAGTCGCTTTTCCTCAGCCCAACCCACCTCACAGAGCTGCTGAGGGGAAAATAGCAGGAGGAAAGGTTTATATATGTTGAATTATTTATAAAAACATCTACAAATATTTAATTATTTATTTGAGTTATTCATAAAAATAACAAAGGTGGGATAAAAAAAATTTAAAAAGGGCATGCAGGTGTGAGGGTCGGTATATTGATGAATAAATAAAAATGAATAAAATAAACAAAAATCTAAAAAAAATAAATACATGTACACATTACATACTGTTAAAGATTTCAGAGGCTGGGATCTTTTATAGAAAGGAAGGGATATATATCAAGTAATTGGAAAAAAAAAAAAAAGCTGTGGACAGCAAAGGAAGAGTTGGTGTTTTTTTAAAAAAATACACCTTTGCTGCCACCTAGGGGCCAGTTGGATAGATGCAGCCCAGAGCTCCTAGTCCCAGCTTGGGAAGACTCACCAGTGGACGGGGGATGGGCTTCTGAGGTTTCTTGGATCCTAATTTTTTCATGGCATTATAGTATTTTTTCTGTTCCTCAGTCATGAAGATGTCTTGTCCACCTAAGTATAGGGAGATACCATTGATGTTATTTTGATTTGGAAAAAACAACAACAAAGGGACAAAAAAACCTTAGGTATACAGATTTGTTACTTATCATCATCATTCATATATTCCCAGTAATATTACTATAACTCATTGCACCTTAATAAGGATTAAAATTTGTGGTGTGCGGATCAAGGAGCTAAATTCTGGTCTCTCCAAGCTATAGAAGCTGAAGAAGAGTCTCATGGTAAGTAGGTAGCCATGTAAATAGATTTAATTAATATATATTTTTTTCTTTTTACGACCCTGAAATCTTTTTACCAGTCAGGGCAACTGAATGGAGCTCAGCATTTACTGGCCGGATGCCTTTCCTGGCACCTATGCAGAGTTTGCAGTAGATATTTTTTCTTTGCATCCTAGGAGGAGAAACATCTGCCGTTGCTTAGGATTGAACTTTCAAACTCAGCATGGCTGGTTCAGGACTTCTGGGAGCTGAAGTTCACGAGTCATAAAAGAGCCAAGGTTGCCTACCACTGCAGTCTAGGCCACTGCACTGCTCATCTAATTAATACATTGATTAATAAAATAAACTCCCTGGGAGACTTTGAACCAGTCCCACTGTCAACCCAACTTATTTTGAAAAGTGGGGACAATAATAGAAGGGATGGGAGTTCATCAGTGAAAAGTGAAATAGAAATCTAAATAAATAAATTTGATTGCAAATAGAAGATTGTGGATTTTTCCTGGTGCATCTTAATTTAATTTGGATGGAAAAAAAGAAGCTGTCTTTTTTCAAGTGTCAACTTGCAACCTTTCATTCAATGACCACTCAAAGTTACAATGACTTATGACCATTTCCCACACTTATAATCACTGCAGCATCTCTGTGGTCACGTGATTAAAATTCGGACGCTTGGCAACTGGTTCATATTTATGACGGTCTCAGAGTCCCGGGATCACGTAATCACCTTCTGACAAACAAAATCAATGGAGAAGCCAGATTCACTTAACAACCATGTTACTCACTTAACAACTGTGGCAGGAAACGTTGTAAAGTGAGGCAAAACTCACTTAGCAACTGTCTCACTTAACAAAAGAAATGTGGGGCTCAATTGTGGCCATAGGTTGAAGATTACCTGTACTTCAGTGTTGCCCCATCTATCTGCAAAGCATGTGCAGGGATGTCAGTCAGAAGGTGTCAAAAAAGTCAAGATAGCGATTGCATGATCAAAACTCCACCTTTCTTTTCCATGTGTCAATCAAGATCTTGACCCTGCAATTGTGGCCGCTACATTGCCTTTTGGGGCATAGACTTTCCCTGCTGATCATACAGCCATATCTCGTTACTCAACTGCTTTAAAAACTCATCGAATTTGGTACTCAAGGCATTTTGACACGAAAATTTTGTCCCAGCACTTGTCATTTGTTTGGTGAGCTAGCTAGCTAGAACTTGCCGTGTCAGCGGCCTCCTGACTCACTATCCTTTCCAGCCGAAACAAAGATTGATGTGTTAGTCATGTGGTTTGTTTGGTACTTGTCGCTTCTAGTATTTGACGTGCCTTCTGGAACAATTAACTGTGAGTACCAAGATAACATTGCAGGTGGTTTTACTTTCATTAACTTCGTTACCGTTTTCCGCTGCAGATATTTGGCAAAACCAGTACAGTGGGGTGCGCGGTTTGAAAAAGAGAAAACGACAGCTAGAATCTTACTCCGCTGTCGAATAAGATTCAAAGAGAGCTACTTATCTTCTTTTTTTGCTGATTGAAATTATCAATGATGACACCAATGAAGAGATTCAAGGTGAAGAAAGAACCGAAGATGATAAAGATCACGAAGTAGAGGTACATGTACAAGTTATATTCCCACACAGGCTGTTCTTCTCTCTGCGAAGGAAAATGGGAAATGAGAGAAGATCAGAATGAAGATCTGTCAGGATCTAAAACGCCATCATTACCGCTTCTAAATTAAGCCATCTTTCCTCTAACCCAGTTGGGGTTGGATGACACTGATCATCTTTCCAAACCAATAGCTGGCTTAACTAATAAAATTCAGCCCGTTGATGTGAGATTGTAGTTGACTGTTACGAAAAAAAAGAGAACAAACTTTTTGGCACACCTTCAGGAAGGAAGAATTAGTGAGCATAATCCTAAGGTTTACCTCATAGAGGTAGTCCTCAACATACGACCGTAATGGAGTCTGCCCATTACCGTTGCAAGTGGTGATGGCCGTTAAGCAAGATATCCTCATTTAATGACCCCCACACTCCTTGTTCTCCTGATGTGGCTGTCATGCAAACATGCTGGTTGTTAAGTGGAGCACTCAATGCTTCAGGGATGGGGGAGGCTTAGTGCAGACTCCAGTAAGCTTGCCCCAGGTCTCCCCCACCCCAAGACACCCTATAAACTACTTTCCTCCCCTTGGGTCCCTGGCCTTTTCCCCCTCCCACAGGGTCCCCACAAGCCCTTCCTCACACTGTGTCCCCATAGGGCTTGGGCCTCCTCCCTACTGCCCATCACCCATTGCACACTTACCTTTCAAAAAGCTCCACAGCATTCTGCAGCACTCTGTGATCTGGGTGGCCGTGTGGCACAATACCAAAATGGCCACCATTTTCAAGATGCCCACAATTCCTCGCAGTCATGCCATAAAGGCGGCCGCTTCTGCGAGACTGCCAGATTGCCAGGGGCGGACCATTCTATTTTGCTTCCCAAATGTGATCTGCACAGCTGAGAGCTCTGGGAAGATCTGCCCTCCTTCCCCAACAGGATATCTTCAAAAGTTAAGTGTGGGATGTAGGGGAAGGAGAGGCAGAGGCTGAGGGCAGAGTCAAGAGGGGAATCAGCCTGGAGTCCTTACGTTGTCACCAGAGGTCCAGGTCCAGCTCTCCTTGAATTCTGTTCATTCTTATCTAGTGCCAATTCAGTGTTGACTGTGAGTTAACTAGACCTTTGTGGTTGTAAATATGAAGACCAGTTGTAAGTCAATTTTTTTTTTCAGTGCTGTTGTAACTTTGAATGGTCACTGAACAAATGGTTGTATGTTGAGGAATACCTGTAACTTGATTCTCAGATTTATTTTTTTAAAGTAAAAACAACATTTTTTTATAATAAAAAATAATGTTTTAATTATTCCTTGCTGGAAAAAAATTGCCAATAGTGACAGACTGCATTTGGTTTGTTGTTGGTTGGAAGTTGGCACTTACTAACTGAAAACAAGCCAGCTGGTCTGACAAGACTGTTTTTTGCTGGCATGCAATATGCTTTCATGGTGTCTGAGCTGGCACAGTGTTACGATACACACCAGGCCCTGCAGCTGTGTTATGAAACAGATGTGTAAAGGAAGGGAATGCACAAGTCACCACAAGACAGGCCTTGCCAGTTGTCCCTCCTTCTGCTGTGGACAATTCTGCTGTTATGTATACCTGGTAATGTCAAGACAGCTAATTCCTTACATGTAGGGAAATTTTTTTTCCCATACGTTGCACCCATTGTTAGTGAGCAGGCTGTAGAGAACAAAGCCAGCAGGTGAGCATTAGGCAAAAGGAGCTTACCTCTCGTGAATCTACCGCTGCATACATAATCGACATCCAACCTTTAAAAGTTGCCTAGGAAGAAAAAGAGAGAGAGAGAGAAGAGCAATGCATTTGATTTAGGCTGTGATAATCAGCCGTGACTTTCTTACTTTGTGCTTTATCTGCAGTTTGGTGGCGGTGAGGAAATTTCTCAGTGCGATTAATAAAATAGTAACATGGTCCCCTGAATTCTGGCTAACACGAGAGCCTAGAGATAGATTCTACGTTGGCTGTGTGAACTTTCCAATGATTTAAAACATGAGATTGCCTGGGAAAGAGGGTGGAGGTGGAGGAGGAGTAGGAAAAGAAGAAGAGAGATAGAACAAAGGAAGGAGGGAGGTAGAGGAGGAGGAAAAGGAGAAGGAGAGAGAGAGAGGAGAAATGGAGGAGGGGGAAAGAGGAGAGGGAGGGGAAGGGAAAGAAGTAGGAGGAGGAGGAGAAGAAGAAGAAAAGAAGAAGAAGAAGAAGAAGAAGAAGAAGAAGAAGAAGAAGAAGAAGAGAGGAGGAGGAGGAGGAGGAGAAGGAGAAGGAGAAGGAGAAGGAGGAGAAGGAGAAGGAGAAGGAGAAGGAGAAGGAGAAGGAGAAGAAGAAGAAGAAGAAGAAGAAGAAGAAGAAGAAGAAGAAGAAGAAGAAGAAGAAGAAGAGAGGAGGAGGAGGAGAAGGAGAAGGAGAAGAAGGAGAAGGAGAAGGAGAAGGAGAAGGAGAAGAAGAAGAAGAAGAAGAAGAAGAAGAAGAAGAAGAAGAAGAAGAAGAAGAAGAAGAAGGAGAAGAAGAAGAAGAAGAAGAAGAAGAAGAAGAAGAAGAAGAAGAAGAAGAAGAAGAAGAAGAAGAAGAAGAAGAAGAAGAAGAACCAATTCCTTTGTCCCCTTCCCCAATAGCTCCCACCCATCTTCCTCTAAATTGATCCCTTCCTTTCTGGGAAGACAGGAAATTATCCAGGTGGATCAGCTCTTGACCAAGTACCTTTAGGGTCTCTTATGAGACTCACAATATACAACTTCTTTAAAGTGGATTTAGAACACCAGAAGCTACTGAGAAAATTGGCTTTTTTTATTAATGATTCTTTGCTGAAACACAGGCTTGCTGCAGTGTAACACTAAGGGTAAATGAATAAGAGAACCATATCTATTACGGTAACCAGCAGTACTATAATTTAAAATATTGCCTTCATCATCGCGAAATAATTGTAATTGTATGTTTACTTCTGAGTCTGTGAAAAGGTGTCAGCCTTCTACCATGGACCGAAATTTAACCTCTTCTCTTCCTTACATGCCACATTAAGGGTGAAACTGTGTACTCTCAATATATCAAGCCCAGACAGATAAATAAATAAGAATGAAGACAAATCTACAGCCAATCTAGTCAGAATGCACCTGCACCGATTTGTTACAAACAAGGATAAATCACAGCATCCAATGCATTGCTACTAAAAATGAAACCTTCGCATATATTCCAATACTTTTGAACCTGGCCAAAATAGGATAAATCAGAGAATAATTATCTATGTATTCCCTAACGGCTGTTGTTTTGTATGAAAAGGAAAAAAGGTGCCAATTCTCAAAATTAAACTTGAATTCATTGTTATTTAAAGCACTGAATAAAAGCCAATTAAGCATATGTGAAATACTTACCCCAAAGAGTTTGTAGATGACAGATTACCTTCAAAGTCAAAAATGGTTTGGGAGGAATGAAATCATGAAATGGATTCCTTTAGGATTCTTTATCTTTGGGGGGGGGGCAAGTGTTGGTAATCTGATAATAGACACGGGGGAGGGGGGGAGCTTTGTATGATTGGCAATAGAAACAAAAGTAAAAACTTTCTCTCCTTGCTTTTATATGTTATGTTCTCCTTCATTTCTGCTCTTGAGCCCAAGAAATGTGCATCCCTTGAGAGAAAAAAGTGTTTTCCTTCTTTTCCCCCCCCTCTCCATTAAAAGTCAGTGGCTCCATAAAGAGAGACAATGGAAAACCCCTAACTATGGAAATAATGGTTGGAATTACGTTCCAATTCATTATTTTATAACTGTTTCATTCATGCTTTAAATCCTCCACCTGATCAGTAACAAAACAACAAGAGTTGGAAGGCACCGTGGAGGTCTTCTAGGTCAGTGGTTCTCAACCTTTTTAATGCCGCGACCCCCAACCGATCGTAAGTCGAGGACTAAACCGGTCATAAGTCGAGGGCTAAACCGGTCGTAAGTCGAGGGCTACCCAACCGGTCGTAAGTCGAGGACTTTCCCTGCCCGGGAGCACCGCGCATGCGTGGTTCCGCCCCCTGCGCCGGCTGAGGCGTAGCTGGCAAGCGGCAGAGACGGAGCAGGCCGACCACCAGCTGGCCCAGCCCAAGGGAGGTAAGGCACCCACCGGAAAAGGGGGAAAAAATGGCGGACAGCCTTGCTTGGCGACCCCCGTGAAATGGTTGATCGATCCCAAATGGGGTCGCGACCCATAGGTTGAGAACCGCTGTTCTAGGCCAACCCTTGCTTAAGCAGGAGAGCCTGTAAGATTCTGGACCCATGGCCGCCAGCCTCTTGAAAGCTCCACGGATGGAGCACCCACAAGTTCGGAGGGAGGAAGGAAGAGAGGGAGGGAGGGAGAGGGGAAAAGGGGGGAGGGAAGCAGAGGGGAGGGGGAAGGGAGGGGAGAAAGGAAGGAAGGAGACGGAGGGAAGGAAGGATGGAGAGGGAGGGAGGAGAGAGGAAGGAAGAAAAGAGGGAGGGAGGGAGGGAGGAAGGNGAAAGAAGGGGAGGGAAGCAGAGGGGAGGGAGAAGGGAGGGAGGGAAGAAAGGAAGAAAGGTAGGAAGGAGATGGTGGGAAGGAAGGATGGAGAGGGAGGAAAAGAAGGAAGGAGATGGAGGGAGAGAGGAAGGGAGGGAGGGAGGAGGGAAGAAAGGAAGAAGAGGGGAGGGAGGAAAGGAGGAAGGAAGGAAAGAAGGAAGGAAGAAGAGAGAGGGGGGAAGGAAGGAAGAAGAGGGAGGGAGAAAGGAAAGAAGGAAAGAAGGAAGGAGAGGGAGGGAGGAGGAAGGAAGCAGGGAGGGAGGGAGGAAGTTTGGAGGGAGGGAGGAATGGAGGAAGGAAGCTGGGAGGGAGGGAGGGAGGAAGAAAGCAGGAAGAGAGGGAGGAAAAAAGCAGGGAGAGAAGGAGGGAGGAAGAAAGCTGGAGGGAGGGAGGGAGGGAGGGAGAAAGGGAGGAAAGAAGCAGGGAGAGAGGGAGGGAGAGAGGGAGGAAATTGGGAGAGAAGGAGGGAGAGAGGGAGGAAGGAAGATCATTATGGAAATATTGATATTGGGGAAATGGGGAAATCCAAAGAAAAAAAAACCAAGCAACTGGAGCTTAGAAGACCGGATAATTTTTTCACGGGTTGTTTCTCTGAAGCAAATGATGACCTAATCCTACATATTGATCCTTCTGCAGGTGGTTTAATCATTTCTTCCTCTGCCCCCCTGATGTTTCTGTAAACCCCCTGGATAGAAATCTGAGCTTCTTACAACATCGTTTCACGTAAAAGCCATTCCTCCTTCTGTTCCGGAAGAAAAGGGTTCTGTGACACACACACACACACACACACACACACACACACACTCTTCAAAAAGTGCCCAGTCTTTCCCCCTGCACTGCTTTCCTACGGGTGAGCAGTCTTGCCTATCTCTGCATGGCATTTTCATCCTGGGGGTGTTATTCGAGTCGAATTCCAGATGGAGGAAAAATGTGGCATTTATCATTTCAGAAAAAAAAGTCTTTGTGGCTCATGAATTGATCGGATATGCCAAGATGCTGATGGGGAGGGGGGGGGCAGAAAAGCTCCCCTCTCTTTCCACCCAGGGGAAGAAGGCAAGATAATCTAAAGCTGCCTTAAGAGTTCTGGAATTCTTCACCAGACACCCTTGCGGAGAAGTGACGAGAGCATGAAAAATGAAGCCGGGGAGAGAGAGAGAGAGAGAGAGAGAGAGAGAGAGAAAAAAAACATATCAGGGAATTAGGAGCCACTTAAGAGTCCCGATCTGGAGGTGACAAAAACTTCAGTGGTGTGTGTGTTGCAGTACTGCAGTTCTTGGAAAACATCCAGGTAAATACTATCTCAGTGATGGCGAACCTTTTAGAGACCGAGTGCCCAAACTGCAACCCAAAACCCACTTATGCATCGTCAGGTGCCGGGTGGGTGTGGCCCATTGGGTGGGCGTGGCCCATTGGGTGGGCGTGGCTGCGGTGGTAACAATAGACTGGGTGGGACTAAAAAGTTCAATCAATCAATTCCAACTTTGCAAGATCTTTTTTTTCCATGAGAAGTTGAAATTGACTGATTGATTGAACCTTTTTGTGTGTGTGTACACGGCGGGGGAGGCCTAAAGCGAAAAGGTTTTATAAAACCCAACTGAAGGCCTAGGACTGGGGCGACGGCGCATGTGTCCACAGAGAAGGCTCTGAGTGCCGCCTCTGGCACCCGTGCCACAGGTTCGCCACCACTGTACTATCTCCTATTACAGGGGGTTCCAACTTGGCAACTTTAAGACTTGCGGACTTCAACTACCAGAATTCCTCATACTGGCTGGGGAATTCTGGGAGTTGAAGTCCACAAGTCTTAAAATTGCCAAGTTTGTGAGACCCCTGTCCTATTGAAGCCAATGCTGATATTGATAAGAGAGGGGAATTCAACAGAAGGCAGAACAAGACACAATTGTTGGAAATTAATCAAGTAGAGAATCAACCCAAGAATTAAGGAGAAACTTCCTGACAAGTGAGAACAATTAAACAATGGAACGACTGGCCTCCAGAAATTGTGGGTGCTCCATCACTGGAGGTTTTCAAGAAGAGACTGGACAGCCATTTATCTGGAATGGTAGAGGGTCTCCTGCTTCAGCAGGGGGTTGGACTAGATGACCTCCAAGGTCCCTCCCAACTCTGTTAGTTTAGACTGAACTGATTTCAGATATCACTGGTAGGGGAAGGTTTCACTAGATGACCTCCAAGATCCCTTCCAATTTATTATCATCATTATTATTATTATTATTATTATTATTATTATTATTATTATT